GAAACTAAGCACTAAGATAAATGCTGAAGCAAAATTATAAGCTTTGCTCATAATACTATATGACAATAATATGTTTCTGAGACTTGGACAACAAATCACCACCAGATATGGTTTGTTAAAAAATTAAACGGGAGGACATGATTCCAAACTCTGTCATTTTTAAAGGCTGTCAAATATTTGGCACTGAGAATCTTTTAATAAAATCCTATTGCACTGTTCTGGATAACTCATTCATACAACCTTTTTGAAAATAACCAAAATTTCATTGGTCAGTTAAAGAAAGCACTGCTTCCACGGAGGTCAGTATAAATGGTATAAACATAACTTGAAACCAGGTCAACCCCAACAACTGAAAAACAGCAGCTTAGGACAGAGCAAGGTGGTGTCAAATTTGTAATCATGCAGATAATATTTTGAAACAAGGCACACCACCAACTCCTCTGAGAATCAAGAGGACAAAACCATAACACAAAAATCTGCAGTGGCCCTGGACAATCTGCCTCTCTTACATCTCTTGTGCATGTGTTTAGTGTGTACTATGTTTATGTTGAAAGAGAACTGGAAAAGCATGGCAGAGGGACAGCCAGAAGGCAGTGGAAGAGACGGGAAACAGCTAATCAGGAAGGTAGAAGCTGGCAGCTTGTCACCTCTAGGAAAACACAGCGCTCCTCTTTTGAGCGCTCATCTTCTGAACCTGCAGCCCTCCAGCTGACAGGGTTGGCTCCCAACGGGGCCAATAATTTGGCTAATAAATGCCAGTGCATGTGTGCAACCACAGCGCAGCACTCAGGCAGTGAGGAGCACTGTTGGCAGCGTGGAGAGCTGCCTCCAGCTGGTAAGTCTGGTGTGGTGGAAGAGGAGGGGGAAAGGAAGGGGCATGGGGGGCAGATCAATGCCCCCCATGGTGAGGGAGGGGGAAGGGGCAGAAGCCAGTGCTGCCCAGGTGGTGGTGGGGTCTGGAGCCGCAGCTCACTGGGGGGGAAGGGGGAAGGTGGCTTCCACCACTGGTTGCACTCCAGGATGATATGGGGGGACATGTGCCCTCCAGATCTGCATGGGGCAGGGTGGGCTGCAGCCAGAGCTGTGAAGGGCATTTCTTGGTGGGGACTGAGCTCAGAGTGGGCACCGGCAGTGCTGGGAGGATGCTGCATCCACCGCAAACTTTGCCGCTCCTCTGCTCCCAGCGCCACTGCCACCAGCCCCCACATGAGCCGTGGCTCTGCCCCCCCACCCCACCTGGGCAGTTCCTGCCCCCTCCCTCACCGTGGGGGAGGCATTGATCTGTTGCCCCAACGCCCCTTCCTTCCTCCCTCCCTCCCCTTCCACCACACTGGACTTCCCAGCTGGAGGCAGCTGTATTGGAAATTGGGTCAGTATCAGCCAATATGCCTCCTTTAATATCAGCTATCAGTATCGGCCCCAAAAATCTCTATTGGGGCACCCCTAAAATAATTTCATAGTGGAGAGTACTGCTAAGTCAAACAATGGTCTCAAATCAGTGCGTTAGGTGGATTAGTTAGTACTCATTTACATATTCTAAAATTTAAGTTCTTATTTTTTTAATTTAACTAGACTTCAGTGCATCATTGCATACAGTGAAGTCTCGCATCATGCCTAAATGATCTACTAGCAGGATTTCCTCATAAAGTTCTTTAAACCAACAGTTTAAAAGGACAATGACAATTTCTTCCGGGAATTTTCCATACAAGAGCTTCCTCTACTTTCCTAAATAAAAGGATAAAATAACAAGTTTTATAGAAAATAAAGTTACTTTAAAAATCCTACACGCTGTTGTCAATCCAAAAAATAATTTAGCCCAATGGTGCCAGCCAAGCATACATGACAGTATTATTGGGACCCGGAGGCCTTCAGGCCTGGGTTTGACCTTTGTGCTGACCTCAAGCTACATGCTTAACTTGAACTGTGGTTGAGATATGCACCCAGTGAAAGGAGCAGGTGAAAGGAGGAGCAGACAGAAAAATACTGTCCCTGACTTGACATGAATCAGGAAATTGGCTAACTAAACTGAATGAATATAGTTTGGGAAAAAAGGAACAGTCAGAGCAAAACCTACCCCTACCTAAGAATGAAAAGATTATCTCAGAGTACAAAATTCCAGTTAAAGGTAACCATATTTAGCAAACAGAAGCAAGATTATTAATATGCATTAGGAAGAAGACTTAAGCTAATTTTATGCATTAAGAAATGCAAGCTATAGGGTATAAAAAGAGAGGTGAGAGAGTGTACCCTTTGGAACACTCTTCAAGAAAGCCTGAAGAGATACTGTCACTAATTCAAGATCCTGTCTCAACAGCAAACATGGGAACCAGGAGCTTCAGAGAAGACTTCATGACCTGATCAACCAGTGAAGTTGCATTCATAACATAATGGGGCGGTGAGCATCTGCTTTGACTAGCTACAAACCTAAAAATTTTAACTGCTAATGCAGCTTCAGTTCTAATTAGACTTGTATCTGTTAGGGTTCAATAAACTTGCCTGTAGTTTAAGATAACTGTCTTGGTCTCCTTGCCTGGTATAAGATCCATTGTAGCATCAGAGAGACACAACAGTATGCAGCAATGAAACTTTCCCGCTATTTAGTTTATTTTAATTTTCCTGTTGGCCGTATGTGCCATCTATTTATTATGGTTGCCATTTTTTCCTGAAGAGATCTATTTTCCTCTGTCAGTGATGTTTCTGCTAAGGTGACATAGGGCAACATTCTCCATGAACCTCCTATTAGGAAGTGCACTGCTACATTATGGTCCTTGCCAACAGAGTAGCTCTGGCAGGGACATGAGAAATGTGTTTGCAATATGGTTAGTTATACATATCTGCAGCAATGAACCACAGGGTAAAACTAGCCCACCTGTGTCGTTAGTGTGTTAAATTTAAAATCACATTCCTAGATGGAGATATGATGCTAAGACAGTTCCCTGATGTTATGTTACAGTCTACTCCTGAGCATCTCATCAGCGACTTCATATTTATCAGAACAATACTACTTTTTAAAGGCTGTAATACTTCTGTACTACCAAAGAGTAATGGTAGCCACCCTGAAGATGTACATTAGATACATTTTGGCCATTTGTCATGTTCAGGGCTCCTTGGGGATCATGAGTTTGCAGGTAGAGTGTTCAGTCTCCTTCCTATGGGAACAAATTATATGAAGGGATCTGGATACTCAAGTACTAACCATTAGAAAATAACATATTCATTGCTGTGATATTTCAAGGTGTCCTGTCCTATTGTGACATTAAATCATTATATAATAGCAGTATGCCACCATGTCATGCTGCAGGAACAGCAGATGGTGGGGAAAAATCCACACAATCATGCTGGGTTTTAACAAGGGATTTTTTTTTGAACCTAAGAAAAATAAAGGACATTATCATGAGGTTAGTGGAGGCTATAACTTACTTAATTGGTACATGAGTCATAAGTTGTATATATTCAAAAGTAGCAGCTAAGTCCTTTTCAGATCATATGGAAAAGCCTGTACTTGGCCCACAGTCATTTCTGATACAGTAAACATCAGAAATTTGTTACTATTAAAAAAAAGCTTTCTGGGCCAAATTCATATTCTTCATACACAGCCACAGCAAGAATCCAAGGAAAAAGAATCTCTCCCAGCCTGATTAGAAATAATGAAGTAACCATTAGCCATTGAATTGCTGCCAGTGAAGCCTCTAGCAGTCGTTGGCAAGATGGTGTGTTTTCAGCAACTACAGCAGGTCTCAAGCTTTTGATTACAATTCTAAGATGCATATGCAATAAAAAGAATCTTTGTAGCCTCACAGTAACGTATTCATGTGGCTTGCACAAAGTTCATTATAAATGAGACCTGGCCGCAACAACAACCACAACAGGCACCACCATGGCACTTGTTAAGCTTGTCCTGCCATGGTAGCCACCAGGCTCCCCCTGTGGAGTGTTGCACACCCTCATATCTCATTGAAGTGAATGAGATTTGCAGGCTGCTCACTTCCACACACAGGCTTTCAGCACATTATAGGATACAATATCAGACAATCAACTGAAAGCAATGTTAGCTCCCTAAATGGACCTTGCACTTTTTACTTTCATATAACATGAAAACATCCACAATCTTTTTTAAAAGGATCTGTTTTATATATTTGTTGTTTCTTTGAAAGTTGGAGCTGACTGTGAGCAAAAAGCAGCACATCTCATCTTTATATATATCTAACATTAAATAACTGATAATGTTGGTATGAATTTGTAAGCTAAAATGCTACGGCTGGCCAAATGGCTCAGTGGAATAATATTTCTCAAATGCTTACTCAAAATCGAGAAAGAAGATATCATTAATATGGACTATTTAATCGTTCAAATATATTTAGGGTTTGGCTTCCACAACCCTAATAAATATGTTTTGAAAATCCTAAATTACAGAAGAAATGATAATCTGATTGTAGACCATAACAATTCATTTTCACCTTGCTTTCTCATGTGCACAAATATTATACTTAGTCAAACAACCCGACCGTTGCATTTTCAAATTCCAGTGGGTAATGTAAGACAAAAATGTAAATGACATAAAATATCATGGGGTAACATATTCATAATATTACATTCACAAAGTAGTTTTCCAAGATCTAAAAATAAATACTATACGTCACTTTTAAAATGCATATCACAACATCCAAAAAGCTAACTTTAACCATGTTACTAAACCAGCTCACATTTGCATGGAATACCCATACCTTACATGTACATGGTAATATTGACCAGCCACAATGGTTTGATACAAACAAGAAGTAGTACATTCTCTGCTCTAAATTTAGGCTGAAAGCATGCTTGCGTTGTAAACTTCAGTAACAATTAAATCTTTCTGGACAACTGATTTCAATGAAAGCTGTACCTGATTGGATTATTGGGCCCCTTATGACTCAAGTCCCACAAGCCTCTCTCCAAAAGGGAACCAATCCAGGATCTTAATAAACATAAGGAACAGTAAAGCAATAAAAACTTGAACTTACGAACACACATTTCCCTGCTTTCATAAAACCCAGGACAGCACTGGGATTTCCGCCTATACATAGTTTTTTCTCCATGTCTGTAGGCAGTGCGATAACTGATTCTGATGAAAGAAAAAAGGAATGTTACACATATTATAATTGCTCAGAAGTAAAACACTTTCTATGTTAAAATATTTAAGAAAATCTTGGGAGGATACATAGAAAAGACTGGGGAGTGGGGAGCAGAGACCTGGCTTTATTGGTTAATAAAGTTTAATCTTGTGATCCCTTCACAAAATCTGACTATAATTCATTATAAACCATATTTTTCTGGGTGGTGAAAAACCAATCACAAAGGTTAAGTTTTCTTGCTACTTACCTAGGACAGTGACATAACATGGGAAGGAGGGGGTAAAAAAAAAAAAGCAGCTGCTGCTGGCACCTGCACAATCATGATCATGTGGTAACCAGAAATTGCTACTGCCCCTGTGCCCCGGGCACCTGGATGCATCCCTACACTACTGCCCAGGGCTATAATGATCTTAGTCATTCCTCGAATGCCCCCAAAATGTGGCATTTTCTGGAGTAAAATCAAGAAACTAGGCAACACAAATTGGCCACTTAGATTGGCCTATTATCGGGACAAGTTTCTGAAGGCAATGGAATTACCCTGCAAAGGGCTCAAAGAGCCAAAGGCCCAGAGAAGGATCAAGATGGAGAGAGAGGAACTCTGTGGGTTCAAAGCTTACAAAGTGCTGACTTCAGCAGATGTTAACAATGATCACCATCTCAGAGAAGTTGCACCTTATGTAAGCAGCATGGAGGAAAAGCAACTGTATCTGTCACATGATCATGGTACAGAATCACTGAGAGAATTACATTTCTCTAACATTAAACAAGCAATTTCACCAGAGTAGGGGAAACATTTATCCTAAAGCTATTTCCTCTTTCTCTTCACTTCACTTACGGAGCTTCAGCCTGGAAAATTTGCCAGCTCTCTCCTACTGGCTGCTGTAAGTAAACAGCATACAATCCTTTCATCAACTAAATACAGATTAAAAGAACAGTGCATTTCTAAATGTAGTATAGGCAAATAGGTACAAGTTGCCAGTACATCAAGCCTATAAAGTTATCAACATTAAACTGTTCCATGCTACAGGGTGCTCCTAGAAGCAGGTATCACCTCCAACCCTGACAGGCACACTTCCATGCACAGAAGGGAGGAGCACTTTCCAGCTGCCTACAGCAGTTTTAAGTCATTAGTTCCTTGCTTCCTTGGTTAAAATATCCCAGAAGGAGATTTCCTGGGGGAAGACTTTTTTCTGAAAATAATGCTCACATTCCTCACAGAGTGCACAAAATATGAATATCAAGCCATGTTTCATTATTTATAAAAGGTCATCCAAGACCTTTTACAGGAGTCAAGGTGTTTCATTTTTGGAGTAGAAAATACTCTTTTCTAACTTGCTTACCTCTTCTAGGCATGTTTGCTGGCATGATATGCCCTATGATATTGCCAGACCTTTATGCTATCACTTTGCTAGTTCACAGGTGGCCAACCCATGGCACATGTAGCACAAGTGGCAGGCATCGGTAGTTGCTGAGTGTAGCAAACAAGCCCCAGGGTACTGATCTAAGGAAGACACTGGAATGGAAGCAGGGATAGAGCATTCTTTGGAGCAGGATGCTGTGGCAAAAGAAGAGTCCAGGTGTCATCACCAAGAACCAAGTTAAACCTTCTCTAGCCCTGTAGCTGATGCTGGGTTCAAAGCTTTGGCTTCACTGGCCATATCAAACTGCTCCAGCTGCAGAGCCAGGGAAGAGATAACATGGCTCTTAATGGTGACACTTCCTGTTGTAGCAGTATCCTACCTCTGCTCTGCTCTGCTCTGCTCTGCTCTGCTCTGCTCCATATGGCTGTGGTCAGAGGCTGGAGGCTCCCTGCCTCAATTCCACTGCCCCATGCACAGTCTGGTACACCTCTAGGGGAGAGGAAGGGGGCGGGGGGAGATCAGACTGGCACTCGGGGAGGGACAAGAGGGGGTTCAACTTGTGTGGACAAAACAGTTGGCCACAACTGTGTAAGTCAAATACATTTTTAACTTCACCTGAAGTGCAAATGGTAGGGAGTATAGTCACTTTAGTTGATACATCCTGTATACTACATTTGATACAAAATATACATCTTCCATAAACACCCCCAGTAACTGAACAATCTGAAAGCAATGATACTGTACATTACCTGTGCCGTGTGCATTTAAACCAGTTCAGTATGTCAGTACAGCTGGTGTAGTAAATTTGATCAAAAGGATGTGGATATGATTCTTGAACGGTAACTGAATAACTGGAGAGAAAGAAAACAACATTATTAAGCAAGTATATTTTGATTAGTGTAAATATTTTCACAAAAAGCTAACTGACCCTGAAAGACAGCTCTAGCTAAAAGTGATAACTAAACACAAGTAGGTACCTGTAGCGGCCATCAAACAACACACAGAAGCATTTATATTAATATTATATTTACCAAGACAAGTTTTCCTTTTAATCCAAATTTTGATTTCTAAGATGCATAACCCATAGAGCTGCACCATCTCAATGTCTCCCGGGAGTAGAGTTATACAATCAGTGTCAGCTGTATGCTATCAACTAATACCTGCCTCTTTCTACAGAGAATGATTGTGATCTCAGTTCATGGGAGTGGCCCCAAGAAACTTTGACACAGTCAGTACTTCACCTAGAATCTACCAAGAATAGATGCAAAATGGAATAGTGACTTCATTTCTTGTTGCCTAATAAGCAGGAAAGACAATTCTGAATCAGACTTCCCCACACTTAAGGTGCTCTTGATATAAGATGACTTTTGAATCCTTCTAGGTTTTTGTTATCTATTCTGCAAATGAAGTTTCAGATCCCAAGAAGTGTTAATCACTCTCAACTTCCATGGACTTCAGTGAAAATTAAGAGAATTCAGTAATTTGGAGGACTGGGCCCTCCAGCCTTAATTTGCTCCTACATAAATATATTAAAATAGTAATAATTGCCACCCTAACTGAAAAACATCACCGTATATCACTTGGCTTCTTCATGGTAATATTATCATGCAGGCTTCTTACAGATTCAGATCACATAGATTTTTGCTTTAAAAAAAAAAAAAAAAATCACCAGCCTTTCATTTTATGCCTTATTTGTAAAACTTGAGAGACAGGTCATATTTCTTTTTTTACAATGAGTGTTCTTAAAATAAATTACCTCTGTCAAAGAGCTAGTCAGTAGAATTCTGATTTATTGAAGACTAATAGTTCAAAGTCAAGGGCTCTGATAACTAACGAACTTAATAATTCAGAAGTTTCCAGAAAATAATTGAATTCTGTTACTTTTTGAATTGTTGTAAGAGAAGTTTAACAAGAGACTTTACAGTTCACTAGACTGACATCTGTGGAAAGATGTAGTATGTTAATGTTCTTATTTCTGACCTTAGCATTGTCCATCATTTTAAGAAATGGAAAACAGCATATCATCACCAATTTGATGTTAGCAATCTAGTGAATACTATATTGCATAGATATTAACAGACATCAGACAAAAATGTTTTCTGTTTACTATTCAAATTGCTGAAAGTTATACATTCAAAACAGAAGGCATGGACACAGTACATTAATGGACTTATCCAGTAACTATCATCAGGAAGTATTTCAATATAAAAGTCCAAAAAAATGACTAATACCGTATGTAAAACAGAAGTTCAAAAGAAAGTTCAACTTTAACTAAAAAGTAAATCAAGCATTTCTAAAGAACACAAACAGAGGCATAAATTGAAAGATCACTAAGAAAGAAAAATGTACAGTACGTGGACAATGACAGGTCTGCTGGGTAATGTATCTGATCAAACAGCATTAGTAACAGATTGTTTGAAGAACAAGTAATGCAAAGCTGAAAAATCCACTGTCTCAAGTGTGAACCAAACTGGAAAAGTCAGTCAAGGAGACTGAGATTTATAATACATTTTCCAGTGGATTTAGAAAGAGAATAAACTTTTAAGTAACCTTACTGAGCAGCTGGGAGCCAGGCTAGATGCCACAAAATACGGTTGCTTGCTCTACCAGAGGAAGCAGAGACTAAAAACCTGCTGGGACTTCTACAGAAAAGCCTAAAAAGACTAAACCTAAAACTTACACAGACACATCTACAGGAAATGCTGAATGTGCAGTAGTCTAACTCTACTGCACATTAGTGCATCATGACAAAAGCTGTGCTAATGGGCTAATGCGCAGTAGACTAATTCTACTAATTCAGAGAATTAGTCTACTGCGTATTAGCATCACTTAAAAGACATGCACCAGTGCTACTGCACAATAGTGCTGATTACTGCGCTTTGAGTTAGTACCTGTTATTACAGGTACTCAACTTAATGCGCCGTAATTACAGTGCTTTAATGAATGTGTAGACGCGCCCACTGAAGATGGTTCCTTTGGAAGTGGAAAGTTTATAAGCAGAAAAGATAAAAAGACAATCTAAAAATACTTATGAACTCAGAGATTAAGGTACCTGTTCTCTTAGAATGGTGTTTAATAACAATTACTGACAACATTTGGAACAAATATGTGATTACCAGATATAGGATAGATAGGATTCTTAGTCAGGTTTAGAAACTGTACAAGTAAAAAAGAAACAATTCTTTTTCTTGGTTTGGTTCATTGGTTTTCAGGAAATATAATGCTGAAGTGTCAGCACAATTTCCCCACAAATTACAGGTGAAAACCAATAGAAGAATTTATGTGATTACTGATTAGGGCCCTAAACTGTGCAGAGAAGTCACTGGAGGAAGTGGAACCTAGACCAACTTCAGAGGAGGAGAAAAAAATAACAGGTTATCTTTAAAAATCTTAACCAGACTGTTTGTCCTGGCAGTAAATCAACATCTGATTGCATAATGGGATTATAAACCATGAGAGTGCATGGTACATTTTTTCTGTAGTACTAATTCCCAGGGCCAGCAACAAACGTGTGCCAAGTGTGTGGTCAAACAGCATTCTGCACATTTGGTACCCCTAATCTGTCAGCTTCTACTCCCAAACACTACCTACCATCTCCCCTTGTTTTGATCAGCTGACTGAAGAGGGAGATTGGGAAGTTTAACAATTCCAAGTGCCCAGAACCCAGTCCAGAAACCCTGCGCGAGGTGCAGGACATCAGGTAAAGGAGAGCTGAAGTTACTAGTGTGTTAGTTGCAGCTGGGACTTATGAAATGATCACTCCAGGTAAAATGCATAAAAGGGAGAAGAAAGGAGCAAGTGCAGGAAAGCTTAGGGTGAACTTGAAATGACGCTTGTCCTGC